ATTCACAATATGAAGATGTGAACATTCACATTACTATTAACAAGATGTCAACATTAAGCAAACATCAAAGTACAATGAGAACATCAACAATCTTCACATAATATAATGATATGAACATTCACATCAGTGTATGATGATGTAAACATTCACATCAGTGTATAATGATGTGAACATTCACATCAGTGTATGATGATGTAAACATTCACATTGACATTAACAAGATGTTAACATTAAGCAAGCATCAAAGTAAAACGAGAACATTAACAATCTTCACATAATATTAACAATCTTCACAGAGCCTCATTAAGCAAACATCAATTTAAAATGAGAACATCCACATTCTTCACATATTCCACATTCACAAAATGCGAAGATTCACATTGATATATATACTGATAATCAAATCATCCACACAGAACCTCATTACGCATGCATCAAAGTCAAATGAGAACTACACAATCTTCACATAATACGAATGAACTCCCCTCCACATAACCACGTAAAATGCATATAATTGAAAAAACAGAGCATTCAATCCATATAAATCCAAAAACAGAGCATCTGATCCATTATACGAATGAAACCATAAACTGGACATGTATTCATAACCAAATTGATACTAACCTTGATCATGTAATCCTACAATCGTACAGAAAGTTGAAAAAAACTGATTTGAACTAGTTATAATCCGGCAAATGTAACAACCGAAAAACCTCCTCTTCGTCGTCTTCACTCGCAAACCACAGAACCAGACTACAACAGCAAGGATGAAACCCTGGCACAACCAATCCTTGTAATGAGCATGCAAAACATAAACGTATCTCTCGGAATTGGATTGATGATGAAAAGCGTAAAATAGAAACTGCCAAACTGCATGAGCGAAGAAACAGGCACCTATTACGTATTAACACTGTACATATATATATACAGGGGCAAAATAGTCCAAGAAATTATATTAAATTAGAAAAATGGACCTTATGGAATATCCAGAAAAGTTTATGGGACTAATTAGGTTATAATATTCTTTAGTGGACCTAATGGGTTATAACAACTCTATAATGGATTTATTAATAAAAATCCCTAAAATATAAAGTAAAAAAAATAATTGTCAAAATCTGAATAACACCACTTTGAGAAAGGCAATGGAGTGGTTCATAAACGTCCACCTAACTCGTATATATTTTAATAAAACTATTAGAAATTTCAAAAAAGTTTATTAAGATTTTTATCAAATATCTCATATGGGTATGAAACTTACATGGTATGGGTCTCATACTCATGTCACACCCATGTAAAATATTTAGTAAAAATTTTAATAGAACTTTTAAAATTTTTAACATTACTCATATTTTAAAGCATATTGGATAATTGGCTTGGTCATACATTATCAAGTTTGGTGGACCCACATGAATGTTATTATGGGACTATTTGATATAGTTTATTATTAGTTAAAAATTAATAATTAGAAAGCAGAAATCAAAAGCATCTCTCCCTTTACTTCTAAATAATTAATTTATTTAAGTTATTTTTATCTAATACGTTACAAGTCTACACTAAATATTCTTCTGACACTGACTCTCAAATTAAAAGAATCTATAATCAACCTCTTCAAACTATAACAAGCAACCCCTATATCGGTTTGGTGCAATTTATGTTAAGAGTATGTAATACTAGACTATTTGATATAATTTTTTACTACACTTTATAAGGCAAAAATATTTTTGAAAAACTAAAAAAAAAAAAAAAAACTAATTATCCAAAAATTAGAAGAATGGTACTTTTAATTTCTACTTTTGAATTATAGATTCTTAACTTACAATAAATTATACCAAACAAACCCATTGCTTGCTAGAGAAGTAGCATTAAACTTTGGAGGCATCCAGTCCACAAAGTGGATTGAGCGGTGTTGTTTCGGCCAGTAAAACCTACCATGAGTTTCATCTTGATAATTTGAACAGTTCATTTTGTAGACCATAATGTATAAATTATCCATAAAAAAAAAAATCAAGTCAATCTGATATCCATAACCACGTTAATTTTTGGTATTTGATTGCCAAAAAAAAAAAAAGAAGATAAATATTATTTACAAACTAGACTATTTATATTTTGAGAGACAAATATAATAAATTAATATGATTACGATTATCGGATCGATTTTATAAATAATCTATATATTATAATATAAAAATAAACTATTAGAATTATCTGCGATAGATTTCACAGACTGAAACAACACTATCCCGGACTGTCAACTGAACAGGAGCTGCCCCCTTGAACCAATGTTAAATGGAAGTTGAGTAAGAGTCCTAAAATGAACTACCTTAATTCAACTTTAAAATAAAATAGTTACTTTTACTTTAAAGTATGGAAAATAAGTGAGATTTTCATTTTTGAGAAGACCCATAATTTCTAAAGTGATTCACATTACCCACATCATAAGTGATGCGGATTACTTATGGAAATCTCCAAAAATATGGTTTCTTTCATTGTTGTTAAAGTAAACAACCGTGATTGGTAGCTCGAAACTCAGCTCCTCGAATCCTCCGAATTCGAAAAACGACGTCATTTTTTTTTTTTTTTTTTTTTTTTTTTTGAAAAAGAAAAAAAAAAAAGAGAAATGTAGAGCTCTAATTGAAAACATCATTGCGGGGGCGGAGGCGGAGGCGGAGGCGGAGGCAGAGGCAGGGGGCGCTATGAGGCAGAGGTGGAGGCGACGACAGGGCTGCAACGAGCTGCGATGAGGTGACGGCAGGCGACGATCAGGCGACGGCGGGCGACGATCGGGCGGAGGCGAGGCGACGGCGGGCGGAGCTCCTCCCCTTCCCCTCTCTTCTCTCTCTCTCTCTTCTACATTTCAGGCTATTTGCCGGGGGGAGAATTTCGGGAAAAAAAACATTTCTCTAAAGCAAATGTCCAAACACATTTCAAAATTAATTAATTTTTATTTTTATGTTTTTTGAGAAAAGTTGTAAAGTAATTACATTAAAGTAAAAGCAAACAACATAAAAAATAATAATAACAAATAACAAGGTTCTAAATGATCAAACGAGACCCCTACACACACTACAAACAACAAAAGTCATCAAACAAATCAATTGTGATTCTAGAAAAAAACACTAACTCACAGATATGATTTGAAAAAATAAGATCTGAATCAAAATAAAGTCCAAGCCTACCAATGCCATCGTCATTGTCCCGGCCACCACTACCCAACTCCACCTTTGCCGCCATTGTCTTCTTGAACTTCGGTCTTCACCAGAAGTCAAGATTTAAAAAAAAAAACATTCACAACAGTAATCTATGCGAAAAAAAAAAAAAAAAGAAGGTGAAAAACTCTCAAACCTCTCTTTTTAGACATAAAAAACTCATATTTATACTATAAAAATAATTTCGGAACTCGTCAGAAAGAGGCCGAAAAGTCATGGGAGAGGCACAGAAAATCACCTAGAGAGGCTCTCCCAGCGCCCTACTGGATGGTATGGTACTCCCTCAACTTGATTCAAAATGTTTGTATACTATCAAACTATGTATAAAACCCCAATTTACTGAGCTTGGATTAAACAAATCAAAAATCAGATTACATATTTAAAACTCATTATCAAGTTTTCAAATCAAACTTAATTAAGATAGGGTGAATTATACTAATAATTCCTATAGTTGAGGGCTTGTATCACTTTGGTCTCTGACTTTTCAATTGTAACACATTTAATCATAAATTTTGAATTTTGTTCCAAGTAAGGACAATTGAAAATATCATTGGATTTTTCAACGATAAAATCGTCAATTTGATAAAATATAAATTAATTTGACAAAAATAAATATCAAACAAATATTTTTGAATTTTTAAAAATTATGTCTACCCACTAAAAATAAAATTATGTAAAGTTGATAAATCTTTTAGACATTTATTTTTTTTTTTACCAAATTAATTTTTATTATGTGTTTGGATGATGATCATATAAAATTAATTTTTAAAAATCAATCATGTAATTTAAATTAATTTTTATCAATTTTACATAATTTTATCATTGATGGATAAAAATAATTTTTAAAAAATTAAAAATATTTTTTTGACATTTACTTTTTTTAAATCAGTTTATATTTTATTAAATTGATGATTTTACCCTTAAAATTAGACAATGATATCTTCAATTATTCTTATTTCAAATAAGAAATGTATCACAATTGAAAAGTTATGGACCAAAGTAACACAAATCTTAAACTATAGAGACTGTTAGAATAATTTGCCCATTAATCTAATATTGGACTCATTTACAAAGTGTTTAATCAATCAATGAGTGGACACAAAACTACCCGTCGAAGCCTTTAGCATTTTGGTTACTCATAATTCAAAAGCTGACCAATGAGAAAGTTACTGGTACTATGGAAACCTAAAACTACTCATGGTGACAAATTCCAGATTCAAGAATTATTCTGCAATGAAATAATTCATGATTCAATAATTATTTGGGAAATATATTGACAGTTCAAAAAAAAAACAATGGAGAAATTTAAAAACAAAAACAAAAACAAAAACAAAATCAGATCTTCATTCTATAATTGACTTAATTATTTCAACAAATTCAGAAAAATGTGATTCTGAATAATATTGGGGAAAATTCACCAAAAAATAGGAACTATTGAAATATGCAAGACAAATTTGGGAATTGTTGGCATGATGTAAGTATTGCATAAATCTGTTACATTTCTCAAAGTTGGAGAATTCAAGTTGCTTGGCGCAAACAAAATAAAAAGACCGCGGAAATTACAAGATTCAACAATAAATGTTTTAACAGCAGAGTTCGGATTTCAAGTAAATCAGTATGAACAATGGAGTCATTTGGTACACAATTTTTTGGGCAGCTTGGTGAAGCTACCGAAATGAGAAATTACCAATTCAATAATCCACAAGTTGAATAAGAAAGAACACTTTTTTTTTTTTTTGGGCCTTTTTTTTTTTTTTTTTTTTTTATGCTTGTTGTCCATCATTTTTTTCACTCACCTTGGCAATCAGACATCATCGGCATCACTTCCACCAACAGGTGTTTCATGACCGATCCAGTAGTTGCTTCCATCCGGGCCTGAAATCTTAAACCTGCTCAATCCAGCCAAAAAAAAAAAAAAAAACAGGCCTCAAACATTATTGTTGATTTTCTTTTTTTTCCTCAAATGAAGTTCAATGTTATGTTCTGATCTTTAGGAAAGAAACAAGAAAGGGAAAATTCGGGGGAAAAAAAAAATTTAACGCCCCGTTTGTTTAGGTGAAAAACATTTTTTACAAAACTTTTTCTAGAAAATGTCTTAAGGTGAAAACATTTTTCTTTTTAGTGGAGGTAGTGGTGGGTTGAAGGTGGAGGTAGAGGTGGTGACAGTGGTGGACATGGTGATGGTGGTGGTTGGTGGAGGTGATAGGGAGGCAACATTGCTAAGACATTAATCCAAAAATGTTTACCGACTTTTAAAAATAAAAAATATTTTCTGTCCAAATTAACTTATTTTTCGTTGACCATGAAAAATATTTTTGGCTGACTTTCATTTTCTGTTGTATCAAACACCAAAAAATAAAAAAAATATTTTCCACCCAAACAAGCAGAGTGTGTTCAAGGAAGTACATTTTTTTCCTTTTGTTCTATTGGGTTAGGCTCAAAATGGTTGGTTACAAAAATATGAAAATGTATGAGTAGTTTCATTTTCTTTTCCCTAGAAAAATTTAAAATCCAAACACAGCGAATATCTCTTTCTTCAACTCATCAAAATAATTATCTACTAACCGCTCAAGGACAGATTTTCCTTCCTTGTACTTTTGGCTCTTTTCATGGGCAGTCTCCTGCAAATATAAACCTAAAGTAATTAAACACCACAGTCAAGTCAACTAAACACGTGTAAACCAAAATCTTAAGAACTCTGCCTAATGCTCTTACGTATTTCCATCCCAAAATTGATCCGCACCCAACGCAGAAAATGTCCGCAACAGTGTGCAATCCGGTCATCATCATTCTTTCTTCTCCCTCTCCAACAGTGACATTCACTCTGTCAGATATAAGAAGCAAGACAAAACATAAGAACAATGAAATGTCAATGTACAACATCACCGTCTTAACATGTTACAAAGAGCATATAATTTAGCATGCCAATCCATTGCATCCTCAATTCTCCAATTCCCAGTTTCTGAAAATCTCACAGTTCCAGAATCATATTTTTTCCATCACATTTGAACATAAAAGAAGTGAAGAATAAGATTGAGAAACTAATGCTTTAAGACAATCAAATGCTTATCTTCAATTGGAAGTGTAGACTCATTCGCATTCTTTGTATGAGTGTTCTTGGAGATGCAAGATTAAGCATTAAAAAACTAAGCCAGTGATGGAGCAAAAATTTAATTTGGAAAGGCAAATTTAGGCTGAGTTAGTTTAGGATGAAAGTGGTGGAAAGTGAGGGAAAGAAGAAAGAGAAAAAAAAAATGAAACTTTTCTGAGTTTGTTTAGCATGAAAATGGTGTAAACTACAAGAAAGTTAAATTTCCCATGCAACACATATTAGCATGGTAACTAAGTTCATAATTTCGGGCAACAAAAAACACAAGAAAATTTTAGGCTGTGTTTGGAGAAGCTCTCCAAACACGTTTCCACCCCTTATTTTGAGTGTGTTATTTGTTTAGAGTTTTTAAAAATTAATTCCACACCTACTTTTGAAAACTCTTTCCAAGGCGGGAAAATTTGAGCTTACCTGTCGTCCTCCCGAACGTCCGGCCGGTTGACCGGAATGGTGCTATTTTTTATTTATTTTTATTTTTTTTCAATTGGCACATGTTATTTTTTATATTTTAAATAAAAAGAAATTTCGGAATTTTTAAAATTTTTTTGGAAGTCTTGAATAGAATTTTGAGATGTGTGCTTGATTATAAGTTATAAGTTTTTGTATCAAATATCATATGCCACATCAAAAATTCCCCACTCAATTCAAAACTCTTTTTAAAACTCATTCACCAAACAAATTTTCCATACTCAAATCATAATTCCAAAACTCACAAACTCAAATTACAACTCTATTCTCAAATTATATTTAGAAAACTCTACCAAAAGCTACCTTAATTTCTCCATCTTTTTCTTTTAAAATTTTCAACCTAATCAAATGCTTGTAAGAAAATATATTTTCTTATCTCTCTTCACTTTCGATCACTTTCACTTTCCACCATTTTTTCTTTCTAATCAAGCATAGCCTTAGCGTACGTTTGATTAAAAAGAAATAAATGATGGAGAGTAAAAATGGTAGAAAGTGAGGTGAAAGAAAAGGAAAAAAATATATATTTTCTTATATGAATTTGATTAGGATAAAATTGTGCAAGAATATAGGAATTCTAATTTTAAGCAACTACTTTTATAAACTTTCTTGTATTTTCTTGCGTTTTTTGCAAGAAACTAGAAGCAAAGTTACCATGTTATCATGAGTTGTATAAGAAAATTAACTTTCTTGTAACGTCCATTATTTTCATGTGAAACAAACTCAGAACAATTTTTTTTTTTCCCCCATTTCCCTCACTTTCTACCATTTTCTTCCCAACCAAACTTAGCCTAGGGTACAAGCAGCCTGGCCAAGCAAGGAACTTATATCACCAATTCTTCTTTTCTCTTCCATTGACCAACAAGTCTACAAATCAGTTTTGACTTGATATCAAGGTTGATTTCTTTTCTCTTCTGTCATTTTGTTACCATTTTGCAGCCTGATCCTCACTGTTTTATTTTCCACCGCTCGCCTTCGTCCCCTACCCCATCCCTGCTCACCCAACAAAAACAAGCGCGTGCGTGCACATGCACACACACACAAAAAATGTCCCCTAACATAGCAATACCAGTAAGGAAGAAGAATGAAAGGTGTGTAAATATAAATTTTAAGTTATGGACACGTAATATAAATGGCACCTCATGGCTTCTACAAGCGTTGATATTATTATGTCCAATACAAACTTGTACTAAGAAGAGTTTGGTATCAAGACATAATAATGGCTTGCCCAAAATCAAGAATAACTTACACCTTATTGAAGAGATAAGCCTTCCCATGCCTGCAGTGGAAATGCTGAATTGAAGAACAGAGACAAAACAGTAAGAAAATTTGCTTCCGAAAAAAGCTCACAATAACCATAAACTTGACACCAAATCCAAAATAACAAGAAATTAAAAGTTCACTAAAGCCTAGAATATGGTAAACTATCAAAATGTTAGTCACTGTAAAATAACCAATTTTCCCAAAAGCTTATGCTATTAGGAAATGGGCCAACATTATATATCAAGCTATCCAACACTCTCCTTCGCGTGCAAATCCTGTCTTGCACATGGAGAGACAAAGAAAGAAGCAAATAGAAGGATAAGCAAACAGTCAAACAAAGAAGAAGAAACCAAACGGGGACAGAGTACCCAATGCCAACGAAGAGACTTGAACCCAACCTAAGCTCTGTAACCATGTTAAATCACCAATTTTCCCAAATGCTCAGATATCATGTTAAATCACCAATTTTCCCCAAAACTCAAGCTATTAGGAAATTGGCCTAATAATGTATATCAAGATATGCAACACCACTGTTATCAACATTCAAGTTCTAGTTGAACTATTTGGCATAGTCTAGATTAGAGCAATTTGCCTTTCCACTATACATATGCATATATACAATGTACATAGATACATATAAATATTCAGTGTAATGGTTCTTTGTGGCTACCTGTGATGGTCAGAAACAGTTACTTTCAAAATTGGTCAAGAAAGCCTTGCCGTCAAAGAAGCATTTGAGAGATAAATCTCTAAACACAAAGGAAAATTTTGTTTTTGAATCTTTGTACTTTTTGAGAGGGGCACTACCGTTACATTTACAAATAGACTCGCAGGAAACATCATTGTTGGGATGCTTTGCGTACTTATAAGAGATGCGTTGTTCCAAGCAAGCAAACAATGTGTACCGGGTTTCTTATGATAAACATACATCTTGAGAGGATTTCCCATCTCTATGATCAAATTATATTACAAAATTATCTATTAATTTGGGAGGCAGCAAGAGAATCACATCAATTTTTGACAGCCCTAATCTCCTAGTCCACCAAATGTTTTAACTTAAAATTCAGTTAGAAAAATAAGGGAAGATATGTTGATCCTTTTAGAGCTCATGATGCATGTAAAAATCAAGCAGTTAGGAAAATCCCAACCTAGAAAATCAAACAAAATCCATGTAAGAGGACAAAACTTAATAGTTTTCCAGTAGATTATACTGTCCAAGGAAAACAATGACTTATTGACTTGCTGCAGGTATGCCCCCTTAGATGCCTATGTTTAGAGGTCGGGGATTCAAAACACAAGAATGGCAAAGGCAAACTATAGATTCTTCCATTTACAAGAATAAAAACAGGTAATACAAGAAGAAAAAAAATAGCAACAAGGAACTCTCCTAAGCAAGGTTCTGAAAAGCGGTGGCGGTCACCGTAACGGTGGCGGTAGCGATGTTGCAGTTGCAGGGTGTAAAGGCCATAGCGTAACGGTTGCTGTAACCAGAACCATGAATTTTTTTATTTTTCGCATAATTTGAAAAAAACTTACCGATACGCATATTTTTTTTCCATGATCATATTTATTGGGTTTAAAATAAATATTGATCAAATTTTGTAAATTTTTTAGTATGATCCAATATATTTTATATTTTTAAATCACTATAAACTGAGTTTTTTACATTTTATTTTAATAATTAATGACTTTATATTATACAAAAAATCAATCACTAACAAAAGTAAGAGAATAAATAAGAGCCTATATATATATATATATATACATATTCTAACCAAGCCAAATAGATAATGACCACACTTATTATTATTATGATCATCAAACAATATATAAATAGACACACATAAATAAAATGGTTGAGTGATAGCCGTTGAATAGAATAGCATAGGTCTTACGGTTTCAACAAATCAATAACATGTTCTTCATCTTCTCTCTTCTCTCTCTGTCTCTTGCTCCTCCATCTTCTCTCTTTATCTTCCCTCTTCTCTCTATCCCTCTTCCCCCATTTTCAGTTTGTTTGTTTTTTTTTTTTTTGGTGTGTGTGTGCGTATTTTTTTGAAAGAAACAATTTGGAACCATTACATAATGGTGTATAACAGGCCGTTACGACCACTACGGCAGCTGCTATGGTCGACACACCTGTGAATCTCAATCACACTGCAAAAGCGGCCGTAACGGGGGCGATAACCACTACAACCGTTACGTAACGGCATTACGTAACGGTTGCAGCCACTTTTTAAAACCTTGCTCCTAAGTGCTAAGAATTTAACTTTTTACCTACAATAACAATAAAACTCAATTGCCAATTAAGACCTATTGTAAATGCTGACACAATTGCTTATTGCCAAGGCCTACAAAGCAAAGAACTTCCAAGGATTACAAAGCTGCATTCAACTATTTTGGGTTGCTACAATCCTTTTTTGACCATCATGCTCCATTTAAATCCATATTGGTCCTCACTCGAGTCCAATTTTTAGAGACACTCAATAATCTTAATATTAATATTGAGCATATCATTGGGATTAAATTAGCTAAGCAAAACTCATAGTCAAAGGACAAAATGGGGGTTCCTCATTTTCTAGATTGGGAGAATTTGGAATCCTCAGAGAAAACAAGACAATGATACAAACTTTGCCTGGGTTTAAAAAATAAATAAATAAAGATCAGACCACAAACAACTCAAGCAATCACTTGTATCTAATTGTGCATAACAACATACAATAAACCCTCATCAATTCCACATTAGTAAGTACCAAAGTCATAAGCAAAAGCACCATATCAAAACAGTCATCCAATCATCAATTAAAAAAAACTAAATACAATTTTTTTTTTTTTTTTTTTGAGTCAAATAAGAAGCAAATAGTCAACAAGACTAAGATCAAAGCAGAAAATCTTGTGAAAATAGAAAAGAAAACAAGAAAGCATAGACTGATTAGAGAAAGAAACCTTGGAAACGATGTCTTCACAGAGAGCTAGATGGGTTCGGCAGTGCTTGCAGCTGTAGATCTTGCCCTCAAGAGTCACCACAAACAGCCTCCCCATTTCTCTCTCTCTCTCGCTTGCTCTCTCTAGAAGTCTCTCTCTGTCTGTGTAAAACCTTTGTTCAGCCACTACCCTCCAACACCCAATGAAGGGAAATAGAAATGATTTACATCAGAGAACTGATAGAGAAAACCAAATGGGTTTTTATGTATGTATATGTGTATGTATGTATGTATATAAAACTAGTACATGAAAGTGAATACATTGTGAGTGAAGAGATCGAGAGAAGTGTACGAAAGGGGAAGGTATATATATGAGAGAGAATCTTTATGATGTTTGAAGAAATAGATTAAAGTTTTAGGCACGTTTGGCACAACTTTCAAATTATAATTTTACTAATTGATTTGAGTGTTTTTGTTTATTTTAAATTTTTAAATCATAATACTATACTAATTTCTTAATATTTAATTCAAAACATAATTATTACTTTTCAAAACTCATAACCAAGTACATAATTCAAAATCATTTTCAAAACTCAATTCAAATCAATATTTTAATATTTTAAAAATATTTTAATTTTGTTAAGATTTTAAATATTTTAATATTTAAATATGTTACGATTTTTTTAATTTTTTGAATATTTTTAATACTTTATAAAAATAAATTCAAACTTTATTTTATAAAAATATTTTTAAATATTTTAATTTTTTTGTTATGTATTTGATTACGATTTGAGTGCAGAGTTGTGAAAGTAGTATGAAGTTTCGAATTATGTATTTGATTATGAGTTTTTAAAATAATTTCTTAATTGAGTTTTATTTTATGTGTTTGGTTACAATTTGAGTGTAAAGTTGTTTTTAAATTTAAAATATTAACATTTTAAATTATTTAAATTTTTTGAATATTTAAATTATTTAAATTTTTACGATTTAAATTTTTTGAATATTTATTTTAATTTTTTACTTATTAAATTTTTTAGATTATTTAAATATTAATATTTAAAAAATTTTGAATATTTATTTTGAAAAAAAATTATTTCCTTTGTAATATTTTCAATTAAAAAATTAATTAATGTTATTTTCTGTTAATAATAAATTTTTTTAATTGAATTTTAAAATGAGTTTGGTTATGAGTGTTAATCAGAATTTTCATGAGTGTGAAAGTAGTGTGTTTTGTTATGAGTTATAACAATTTGAATTAAGGCCTAGTTTTGGAAGACTAGGCCAAGTTTGGCATGATTGAAAAAAGACAAAAAGTCACTATCCTATTTAAGTCACATCATCTTATTTAAGTCACATCACCTCTTTAATACATCACTTCAAACCCAACCCAAACTCAACCCATATTTCATAAAAAGTCAAAAAGTGCACTTATTTAGTCTTTCCAAACGAGGCCTTTTTATGAAATATGGGTTGGATTTGGGTTGGGTTTGAAGTGATGTGTTAGAGAGGTGATGTGACTTAAATAAGATGATGTGACTTAAATAGGATAGTGACTTTTTGACTTTTTGTCTTTTTTCAATCATGTCAAACTTGGCCTAAGTTTTGAAAACTCTTTCCAAAACTCATAACCAAACAAATTTTCTTACTTCACATGTCAAATCAAATTTTCAAAACTCAATTCAACACTCTATCCAAAAATCATAACCAAACAAATTTTCTACACTCAAATCATAATTGCACAACTCACAAACTCAAAATACAACTCACACTCTCAAATCATATTTATAAAACTCTACCAAACACAACCTTAATTAATCAATCAAACTAATTAAAACTAATTAAACTCGAAGTTTCAAAAAAACCGAACTCGCAAGAAATGTTGGGAATTTTTTTGACGTTTGAAGAAATAGTTTAAAGTTTTAATAAATCAATCAAATTAATTAAACTCAATATTTTAAAAGAACCGAACTTGCAAGAAATGTTGGGAAAGATAGATGAGTAATGTTAGATAGTCTAAATATTTTATTAAAATCACATATCTTATATGAGTGTGAGACCCACACAATGTGAATTTTATGTGGATCTCACATCTATATGAGACATTTAGTAAATCTTTTGATAGAATTTTTTAGGTCTTTAGCATTTTTGAAGATAGATATCGCATTCACACGTAATACATATCTATATATATTATTAGTGGTAACCCGTGCTATGCACGAGCAAGTAACAAAAAGTGGTAAATAATACTAAATATATTAAAATTAATAACAAAATTCTATCATATTAATTTAGATAGGTACTTAAATAATAGATTTGATTGTTCTTAACCAAAAAGAGAGGTGATAATGAGATTCTATAAATATAAAATAAAAATAAATTAAGTTTGAATTTTAAGATAAACTATAAGAATATAGAAAGTGAAAATCAGATAAATCTTAAAAAAAGAATAAAATTAATTGAAAATCAAGAGTAAGAGTAGATCTTGTAAAGATAAGATAAAGATTAAAAAATAAAAAAATTAAGTGTAAATGTGAAGATAAATTATAAGAATATAGAAAGAGAAATTGAGATAAATCCTAGAAAAATGAGATAGAGAGAAATTTAGTAAATATCAAATGAAAATTGAAAAAAAAAAATCAAAGTTGAAATTTAAAAATTTTAAAATAAGATAAGATAAACTTGATAAGAAAAACAACATCTAATGTATCTCTAATAATAGAAGAACCGGTGAGAATAATAGTTTAAAAATTAGATAAGAGTAAAATGACACTTATAATTTTTTAAAATTTGTAAAAAAAAAACTCAAAAATAAGAACCGTAGAAAGTCAAAAATTATATAAGAGTTAAATGCAATCTATAATTTTTTAAAATTTAAATTTTGTATAGTTAAAAAATAAACATTTATGTTATCATATTATACAAATTTTAACTCTATTTTTAACAGTTTTTGTATACTCAAGCTATTTAATTACACACAAAATTCAAGGATCACTTTTTTATTTTTTTTTAAAATTCCTTTTGTGTCTATAACCTATAATTTCAACAACTTTCATATTTTAACGCTACTAAATAAATAAATAAATAATAGCATCGTTTTTTTTTTTTAACATCTTAGTTAGTTTTATTTTTACTTTATGTTATATGATAATATAATCATTCATTTTAAATAACAAAATCTTAACCATAGAACGCGCATGACATGAATATTTCTATGGCAATGTCACGTGAATTTAAAATTCAACAATCATAGAAAAAAATTTCTTACCTATGGTTTTTGTCTAAATACATAAAACATATTTATTCAAATTAAATTTTAAAATTTTGATCATTGATATGTAATATGTTTATAACTTCAACACAAACATAATTGAATAATAATTTTGTTTATTAGAAATTAACCAAACTTTTATTGAAGTATTCATATATTGAATCCAATCTATTAAAAATTACATGACATTCGATAATGTAATTGAAATTAACTATTAAATATTAATTAAGTAAAAAACATGCATATTGAGTTTTTGCTCTTCGAATGGATCCAAATGACCTTATCTACAAATGGTTTTCGTTATATATATATATAAAGAGTATTATGAGTTGAAAATGAAGTAATTTATTTGTATATTCATTAAGGATTTTGAAATCCAATCTTGTGCTTCAAATATTCCTTTGTGCAGTTGTCTTTTTACTGCAAAAGAGAAATTTATCATTTAATCATTTAAAAACTTAATCATACTCACTACATATATGCAAAGAAACAAATTTAAACTCATGAAGATCCCAAATAAAAAAATAAGAATATAAGCAAAAAATATTTTAAAGCTACTACATAATTAAGTTTATTTACGTTTGAATTTAAATTGAGTGCCCTCCTTATATATTACAACAAAATCGAACACATAAATTAATATCATTGAAGAACAAAATATAATAAAAAATAAATGAGATTGAAAAAAAATTTCTTTCAAACTCGTGAATGTGTTTCAAATACTCTTCTCGATTGGTACAATTTTTCTAAAAAAAAATGGGTAAACTCCAACTGCATCACAAAACATCACTCTTTGTATTGGTTTTTTAGCCCTTTGTTGCCATTGCTACTTTTTTCTTATACGTTGTAGTTGTAAAATTTAAAAAAAAAAATGAATAATAAATTTTGGAGGCATAAGCGCATCTACTATATTATTATAATTTCAACAACTAACTTAGATTAAGAAAAAAAAATTAAATACATAAAATAAACCAAAACTAAAACAAACAAACAAACAAACAAAATTCAAAAGAAAAAATAGAGCAAAAAACATAATATGAGATTTCAAATATATATTTCTTTTCACATAAGAAAATTCTTGCAAAATTGGTTAAATCACCTATTTAATTCCTCTGCAGGGTTCTTCTGTTCTTTAATATTTTTGCCCAATTTCATATTGTCATGAAAGCAAGGTTTTGAGATTTATAGTTTAATTTGTTTATTTTTTTTGAAATATCTTTGAGTAGGATATAAATTTGATGAAGGAATTTTAATTAGAGTCAAACTCATCTTTTATCTGTAAATATTTTTTTTAAAATCCAATCCATATGATATTATATATATCCATACCCTATGTAATTAAAAAGTGAAATAAAATATACTAAAAAAGAGGAAAAAATAGGAAAATAAAATGAGAGAAGAATAGATGTGCCACCTAGGAAAAAGTTTAATGAGATGTGATGAATCAGTTCGTTCCAAGTGGAACGGGTCGGACTGATCCACGCTCCTCTGGCCAGTGTCCGAGCAACCAAGCCCACCCGAAGACCTGCACAAGAGTTTAACGGGAGCGGGGAGTCCCCCAGCGAATCCTCCAACGAGCAAGTTAGAAAGAGAAGTGGAGTATAGAGATGAATTAGAGATAGAAAGCTTAACCTTCTTTCTGTCTTCGACCTTTGCCTATATCCTCTGGTAATCATTTCGTTGTCCCTTCCGACCTGTCACTTTGGCCGAAAGTTTATGCTCTAACTTACCTTGTTCATGGTGAAGGCGTTCTGTTCCAACGAAGAGGGGTTATCGCAATAAATGCTGTGAGGGGCCTCATTAATGGCGATGTGCCGTGACAATAACTTTGCAGATCTTTGTCTGCTGATGTGGCTTGCCCTTCTCTCGCCATGCGTCTTGAGGTCATTGGTTCTTATTGCTACATGGGGCTTTAGCAGTGTTGGGCTTTAGCATTTGAGTTATGTATTGGGCCCCAAATGGTGGGCTATAATCTTTATGGGCTTACCCATGTCAGCAGTCCCCCATTCCCAAGTACAGCTTTAGTCCAACGAAGGAAATAATGAAGAAAATGAGGGTTGTAAGAGGGT